GGGAGAGAGAAGGAGGGGAGAGGGAAGGAGGGGAAGGGGAGAAGGGAAGGGAGGGGGAGAGGAGGGGAGATGAAGAAGAGAGAGAGGGGGGAAGAGGGAAGGAAGGGAGGGAGAGGGGGAAAGAGGAAGGAAGGGAGGGAGAGGGTGCTAACACTAGGAAGAGGAGGAGGGGAGATGAAGAAGAGAGAGAGGGAGGGAGGGAGATAGAGGGAAGAGAGAGAGGGAGGAGGAGGGAGAGGAGAAGAGAGAGAGGGGAGAGGAGGGGAGATGAAGAAGAGAGAGAGGGGAAGGGGGAGAAGGGAAGGGAGAGAGAAGGGAAGGGAGAAGAAGAGAGAGGAGAAGGGGGATAGGGAGAGGGGGAAAGAGGGAGGAAGGGAGAGAAGAAGAGAGAGAGGGAGAGAGGGAGGAGGGAGGGAAGGGAGAAGAAAGAGAGGAGAGAGAAGGGGATAGAGGGAGAGGGGGAAAGAGGGAAGGAAGGGAGAAGAAGAAGGAGAGAGGGAAGAGAGGGAGAAAAAGGAGAAAGGAGGAGGTGAGGGAGGGGAGATGAAGAAGGAGAGAAGGGGAGAGAGGGGGAGAGGAGAAGAGAGAGAGGGAGAGGAGGGAGATGAAGAAGAGAGAGAGGGAGAGAGGAGGGAGAGGAGAGAGAGAGAGGGGAGAGGAGGGGAGATGGAAGAAAGAGAGAGAGGGGAGAGAGGGAGGGAGAGGAGAAGAGAGAGAGGGGAGAGGAGGGAGATGAAGAAGAGAGAGAGGGGAGAGAGGAGGGGAGAGGAGAAGAGAGAGAGGGGAGAGGAGGGAGATGAGAAAGAGAGAGAGGGAGGGAGGGAGGGAGAGGAGAAGAGAGACAGGGAGGGAGGAGGGAGAGGAAGGAAGGGAGGGGGAGAGGGAGAAAGAGGGAAGGAAGGGAGAAGAAGAGAGGAGAGAGAGAAGGAGAGATGGGGGAATGGAGGGAGAGGGGGGAAGGGGATAGAAGGAAGGAAGGAAGGGGAGGACCAGAAGAAGAGAAGAGAGAGAGAGGGGAGGGATAGAGGGAAGGGAGGAGGGGAGGAGAGAGAGAGGGAGAAGGAGAGGAGAAAAGATGATAGAGGAGAGGGAGAAGGGGAGGGAAAGAGGTGAGGGAGAGAGGGGAAGGAGAGGAGAAAGAGATGATAGAGGGAGAGAGGGAGAAGGAGAGGAGAAAGAGGTGTAGAGGGAGAGAGGGAGAAGATGGGAAAGAGGTGGGAGGGTAGATGGAGAAATGGAAAAGGAGGAAATGAAGTAGGGGGAAACGAGAGGAGAAAGAGGGGATAGGAGGAGAGAGGGAGAAGGATTTTTTTTTCTTTTTATTTGTTATTTATTTATATTTCGTTTGTGGTTTCGTCTGTCTCTTGACCTTTCTACTTTGGTCTTTTTTTACTTGATGTTCCTCTCTTTTCATTAAACATTATCTATTATATTGATCTATTTATCCATTTCTCTCTTTCCCTCCTTTCCTCCCTTCCTAATTCTTTCTCTCCCTCCTTACTTCACTTCCTTTCCCTCTTTTTCTCTCTCTTTTCTCCGTCTCCCTTCTTCATTTGTCTTTATCTCTCTCTTCTGTCTTTCCATCCTTCCTGCCGCTTTCCTCTTCTTTTCTCCTCTTTTCTTCCTTCCTATCTCTCTGTCTCTGTCTCTGTCTGTCTGTCTGCTAGTCTGTCTGTCTGCCAGTCTGTCTCTCTTCTCTCTCTCTCTCCTCCTTCTCTCTCTCTCTCTCTCTCTCTCTCTCTCTCTCTCTCTCTTCTCTCTCTCTCTCTCTTTCTCTCTCTCTCTCTCTCTCACTCTCACTCTCCCTCTCCTCTCTCCCCTCTCTCTCCCCTCTCCCTCCCTCCCCCTCCACCTCTACCCTCCCCCATCCCCCCTCCACCCATCCACCCCCTCCCTCCCTCCACCCCTCCCCCTCCATCTCTCCCTCTCCCCCCTCCCCCACCACTCCCCTCTCCCACCTCCACCTCTTCACCCACTCTGTTCATTCCCACAGCTTGTCCCACTCTGTTTCATTCCCCACAGCTTGTCCACTCTGTTCTTCCCTCTTGTCCCACTCTTTCATTCCCACAGCTTGCCCACTCTGTTCATTCCCACAGCTTGTCCCACTCTGTTCATTGCTTGTCCCCACTCTGTTATTCCCACAGCTTGTCCCACTCTGTTCATTCCCACAGCTTGTCCCACTTGTTTTCATTTCCACAGCTTGTCCCACTCTGTTCATTCCACAGCTTGTCCCGCTCTGTTCATTCCACAGCTCCCCACTCTGTTCATTCCCACAGCCTGTCCCACTTGTTTCATCCCACAGCTTGTCCCTCTGTTCATTCCCACAGCTTGTCCCCCTCTGTTCATTCCCACAGCTTGTCCCACTCTGTTCATTGCCACAGCTTGTCCCACTCTGTTCATTCCCACAGCTTGTCCCACTCTGTTCATTCCCACAGCTTGTCCCACTCTGTTCATTCCCACAGCTTGTCCCACTCCCCTCTCCCGCGCCGCCGCCATCCAT